AAAGGGGAGAGGTGGAAATCAATGGGAATTCCAACAGTACACAGTGTATTAAAGGGGAGAGGTGGAAATCAATGGGAATTCCAACAGTACACAGTGTATTGAAGGGGAGAGGTGGAAATCAATGGGAATTCCAACAGTACACAGTGTATTGAAGAAGAATGGACGGGGATAACTGCGATCAGTTGCCATTCGCACAGAACCCCGTGCGGACAGTGCAGGCTTTGGGACCTCTTGGTTCATCTGGTCACAGCCTGACACTGACCAACCTGGACCAGGAGTTGTGATGGGTGGGCAGACAGCCATCAAGGTAAAGACCATATCCGGAAGAGCTAATTTAGGGCACTGAGGCCTAAATTAAAGCTTGACTGGTAAGTGCACCCCATCTACAACAGAAAGCATCTCTAATTCAGTTGAGAAAAAAATATGCTAAATATCAAGTATGGAAAGATGGTGATGGGGGCGCACATGCTGAAACATGTCCTTGGGAAGCATGTGTACCTTTTGGGGACTGAACAGTGCCTACACCAGCTCTGCACTGGGCATGCTGGGGTGAGGCCTAATGCCTGCCCACTTAAGCAGCTAGCCTGTCAGAGTCAGCGCTGTGGGAAGGGACAGTGAGGGAGGAACACTGGAGGTGTTGAAAGGTGCCGCCTCTGAACTGGAGAGGGCGGGCCTTGAGCCAAGGCGAGGAGTTGCACAGAGTTACGGTTGGAACACAGCACAGGGTTGCCAAGGCTGTTTGTACAGCTTGAGGCAGTGATGATATTTGCTCTGGTCTCTTGGCCAGCTAACGAAGTCCCAGAATGCACCTCAGTCATTAATTCTATGGCTGTTGGTTGGCTGATGTTTTAGATAATGTTGGCTTTTGTTGGCAAAGCCATTACTTTTAAAACAAGGAGGTCCCAATGAGCAGAACTGCTTCCCTGCATTCAATTTCTACCCACTCAGCCCACCCGAGAGATTCCTGTGGTCATCTCTAGGGCCCACCCTGGGCTTGACTTGACCCCACCTCCCTCTCTCACCTGCTGTTTACAGCTTCTCTTCCCTAACTATACTCCAGGATTTCTGACTCAGACTTCGGCTCCTCCTATTCTACTCTCCTGAAATCTCTGCCTGCCCTAGAGAAATAGACAGGGCACAGAAACGGCTAGCCGTGCTGAGGCAGGTTGCTGGGCAGTGGGTGCCATCTGGGCAGAGCTGAGCGACACAGAGGATGAGACTGTGTCTGCCCTTAAGTGAGGTGAACTTTGTGCCTCTGAGGGGCAGAGTAGGAGGCCAGTGGTGCAGAAACAGAGGAGCCAGGAACAAGGGACAAAGTGGGAAGGAGACACAGCCATAGCCGGTAAGCTCCATTTCCTGTTGACTGCATAGTTTTCCCACTCCAGACCCTGAAAAGGAGCTCTGTCTTGCTGTCATGTCTTACTGCTTACACATGACAGTGACAAAGGAAAATGAGAGGGCAGACGTAGCAAGAGCAGGTCTTAGAGCAAGAAAACCCTGTGTGGAGTCCAGTGAGCTGCCTGCTGTGTGTTATTTGTATGGGGGGGCGTACACTGTTCCCCTGGGGTCATTACAGCAATCATAAGACATGGCCTATGAAAACCCCAAATGAATCCTCAGGCTGAGAGAGATAACTGAGGCAGGTAGAAGGAGGCTGGATGCACATTCACAGGCATGGAATTCAGATCAACCCGCTGGGATTGGGCTAAGCCCTGCATTAATGCATTACTGTTTGGTCCTCACAGCAGTCCTGAAGGCAAATTCTGTTCTTACTCATTTTGAAGATTTTATTTATTTATCATGTGTTGTGTGTATGTATGTACGTGGGTGTGCACATGCTACACTATGAGTATAGGTTAAAGGACCCACAGTGAACTGGGGTCATCAGGCTTGGTTGCAGGCACCTTTACCTACTAGGTAAAGGCCATCTCAGCCCTGTGACAGAAGAGTCAGAGGTTATGAATCCGGAGTCACACAGACATGAATCCTAACCTTCCTCTACAGCAGATGCATGTATTCAAAGATAAGTCCCTTGGACACTGTCAGTTATTGAACCAAACTATAACACACTTGTTAGTCTATTCCCTGCCCACTGATTCCAAGAACAGTTTTTGCTAGGAGTGGATGTCCTGGTGTATAAGATGTGCAAGAGATATGCATATACACAGAGAAAACAAAGTATCCAAAAATAAATGTGAGGCCGGGAGGAGAGGGCGACTCCACACCCCACAAGCCTCCATGTCTCAGAGGGGTTGCTGCAAATGCACACTACATTAACTGCTTCCCAGGAGCGACACCTGACCATCAGGAAGGTTTTCCTGCCCAATCTCAGAACATTTCTGTATAAATGCTCAGGGAACACATACACACTCATTTATATTTGTGTGGATTACATTATTTCTCCACAAATAAGACTTAATTGTATTTTAAACATTAACTAATAATACATCTACACACAGAATTCAAAACAAGCTACCCTGTAGAGTCGAAGGCTACATGCTTAGGAAGGGAGCAAATCTGTCACTGTACAAATGTCCTTAGCTGTAGCAGGGACTTGTGATGAGGAAGGGGCCTGTGGGACAGTGATGTTCAACTTTGACCTCAGTTGTGACACGGGTGTCTAGTAATCACTGCCTTTGTATGGATTACACACTTTAAAAATTGTGCTGTATTTCACAATGTTTAAAAAAATCAAAACTAAAAAACAAAACTCTGCATTAAGGGTACTTGTTGCTCTTGCAGAGGGCCCACACTTGGTTTCTAGCACCCACATGGTGGCTCACACCACTCTAGATCCGATGCCCTCTTCTGACCTCTGTGGCCACCAGACATGCATGTGGTACTCACACATTTGTATCATACACATTAAAAAAAATCCCTAGAAAATGAAACTGTGTGACTAATAAGGAACACATTTGCCTAGATATGTCCCATGAAGCTCACATGGACAGGCTTCCTCGTAATTTTACAGTTGATTTCCTATGCTGCTCTCCCCGTGAGTCGGGAGGGCCCAACTCTTGCAGCCTCCACCTCAGCTTTTCACAGCAGCAGCAGAATATGGTACAGGCGGCTGGAGAGTCAGTGAGCCTAAGTGCCAAGCCTTACCTGTCACAATGTTCTGCTGCAATCTCAAGTTTCCTCTGGGATTCGATCTTCAGATCCCTGACCATGGTCAACCAGGCCCTGAAAACCTTCTTCTGCAGTAAGTGGGCACAG